AGTCGGGAGATCGATCTTTCGCCGAAGGATAAGTTGCCGTGAGTCATTTAATTGTTTCTTTACTTTATGCATCCTTATATTTTGAAAACAAAACATAAACTTTCCATTAAATGGCCACATAAATAATGCTTGAGTCCCGAATCTAATGATGAAGTTTGCCTTTTGATGAATTTTATAAACTAAACTGTTAATTAATGAATACAATAATGTAAAATGTTAGTGACTATTAAGTACTTGAGCAAACATGAAAAGAATTTATTTGAATTTATATTTGGTTTAAACACTGAAAGAAATTTGAAGTCAAAACATTTGATCGATCTTGAGTAAATTAAAACGAACGAAAGGAATTGGCCTTGTACACTGAAACAAATTGAAATCTAAACTAAAATTTAAAATTTACATACCTTATTTTTAGATTATTATTATTTACAATTATTATTACATACCCATGCCATTGTTTAGACTATATACCTATTACTATATTGCGAACGAAATTATACGCTATTTCTCTTGAATATTAATTATGTTCTATTTCCGTAAATTGGTTATTAAAATGGAGGCCTAAAACCCCAATTAACTGAACTCAGCTGATGTTTTCACGGTCGTAGGGTAGATCAGGGGTCACCAGAGCCATGCTCTTGCGGCAGGTGATCACAGGCAGGGAGGGCAACAAGCGAGCTCAACAACATCCGAGGCTTCGCATTCATTAAGATTTCTCACTTTCCTTTCTTTCTTTTCTTTCATTTATCCTTTTTCTCGATTCCTGGAGTTCTCGTTTTTCCGAATTTATTTATATTTTCTTCCGGTTTAGTTAACTAACTTATGATTTTGTCGCAAGCACGCTCAATTCTTGGTCTGTTAATAATAATGTGTAGATAGTGTCAGGATCTGTATAAAGCAAGAACAACACCCCCAAAGCCGACGAGTTAGTGCCGGACCCTATAGCGTGCCCCGCAAGTACAGATTCCTCGATTCAAACACTTTAGTCGAACGTTACACGCTACAAAACAGGCCCCAACCAGCAAAATTGTCAATTCTACTAAGTAAATAGTCATTTCACAACAGTAAAATACACACAATTAGCGAAGACACAAACCCAAAGCAAAAACAAAATACACGTAACTATTTTAAAAGTTACGTAACTATCTTTGTTGGTCAATTTTACCAAGCAATTTTTTTTGTGTGTAGCTGCGCCAGGGAAGCATCACGTAACGCACTGTACAAAGTACATTCACATTTTGTTCTATTGGATTCCAGGTTTATATTCTTGTTTAGCCATTTATGTGTGTGTTATATTACCTAAATCTCGCGACGAGACCACCTTGTATAGTTTCTCCATGGTCTCGTCGGCTGCCTAATCCATGGTGGAACTATACATTTATATACATTTAACACGAAAGAAAAAGATGCTATTTTCGATTTCTGCCGAGAATTGATGAGAAAACATAAGTCAATAAATATCCCAAAAAACACGGAAGCAGTTTTCCAACCCGAGAAGACTTCAATTTTTTCAAGCTTTATTCAAAATAACACAGATGACCCGGCAGAAAACGATATAGAAACAGAGTTGCAATGATACAAATCGGTTAAAATCTCCCTAGGACATAATTTCAATGTGCTTAAATGGTGGGAATCAAACAAAGAACATTACCCAATATTATACAAAGTCAGCTGCGAGGTATTATGCATTCCTGACAGTAGTGCATCTTCTGAAAGAGCATTTTCTCAGGCTCGTTTGCTGATTTCAGAAAAGAGAAGCCAAATTTCAAAATCCAGCGAAAAAGTAAAATAAATCATGTTTTTAAACTCAAATTTAAAGCAAAACTCATAAACATAAACAAATAAATTTATCGACGAGAATAAAAAAAGTTATTAAACGGTGTTCTTAAGATTTTATGCCATTTTTCGGTAAATTTCCTCTAGGATCGTAGTGCTACGATTTGCGAAGAAAAAAACTTCTTCGATGGACCGGGATTTCTTAAGATCCGCGATAAATTTTTTTATTTATGTATTGCAGGATTACTGTCGAGAATGTTAAGTCATATGATCAAGATATGAGGGTAGTGTGATTTTGAAGAGCTCGCGGTCCATGGAAGACAGTTTTTGGAATTGAATAATAGGGGGATTCCCTAAACTGTTGAATTGCTGAATTTTTGAATTTTGGTCAGCTGTTAATCAGCTGTTCCATACAAAGTCAACTTTCAGAAATTTCAGCAATTCAGCAGCCTCGGGGCTGTTGAAAATTTTGTTGAATTGCTGAAAAGCCAGAGTTGTCACCTATTTTAAAAAGTCTTGGCAACTCTGTAACATTTTAGAATCACCAGTACGCATTATTTATTTTAAAAACAACTTATAAAGCATATTTGTGGTTCTTTTTACCTTGGTAACACTTTTAGACAATAACTAGCAAATAAATCAAATTTTACATGCTTTAAGTTCCGGGAAACTTTTCAACAAATAACAGGAACCATTTTGGGTCGTTCCCTTAATTGCTGAAATTGTTTGTTGAATTTTCAACAGTTTAGGGAATCCCTGTTATTAATATAGCCAAATGTCCGAAACACTAAAAAGAAAATTAGTCCCCGATGAATCGCGGATTCTGAAGAAGTTTTATCAGGGCCAACGATGTTTCCGTAAATTTTTTCTAAATTGATACACTCAGAAAAAAAATCGCCCTTAATTTTAGAAAATCGCCATACTTTGAAAATCGCCTTGAAATTCCGAAAATATTTCTATTTTTCAGAAATATTTTTCTAAATAATAAGAAAAACTTACTCTGATTAGATCAACTCCTCTTGTTATCAACTTTTAGAAAAATTTTCTGTTATTCAGAAATTTTTTTTTTAAACTAAGAAAAAATCGCCTTACATTTTAGGAAATTTGCCCAATCGGTAGCCTAGGGGTCTAATGCGAGCGGATTATTTGTTTTCTACGCTTATATTCGGAAGCGTGTGTTCGATCCCACGTCGAGGCGGACATTTATTGCAATTCTTTTTTTTTTGAGTATTAATATGTATACTTAAATACAAATATGGATTTAGGTAAACTAACACACACATAAGGATAAATAAGAGTATAAACCTTGGACCCAAGAGAACAGAATGAGAATGTACTTTGTACCATAGAGTACGAAACTAACATAATTACTCTATGGTAGAGTATAAACCTTGGACCCAAGAGAACAGAATGAGAATGTACTTTGTACCATAGAGTACGAAACTAACATAATTACTCTATGGTAGAGTGTTTGACTGCGAACTGTGAGGTAAGGGGTTCGATTTTGATTTTTAGAATAATTTTTTCTAAAAGACAAGGCGAGCTGCCTTTGGCTTAAAAAGTATGGCGATTTTTTTTCTGAGTGTATTTCTTAAGATCCGAAAAAATTTCCTCGATGGACCCTACGTTTTTGAATGCCATTTCGTTGCGGTACCGGTGTAAAATATACTACGCAGATTCTTTCGGCCATGTTTTCCTAATTTTTAAAAAAGTTACTGAATGCACTTAAAACAAGAGAGAACGCTATAGTCGGGTTGGTGTCCCGACTATCTAATATTCGAACCTCAGCTAAAGGGAGTGCGAGTGAGATAGATATATAAACAATTTTGATTGATAACTTTTTAATGAATGGTCCGATTTGAAAAATCGGAACAACAAAATTGAATTTATACTTCTCGGAAATCTTTAAAGGTGTGGGCGCCAGACACATTTTAAAATCGTTAGTGGGCGACTGTGGGCGTTAGAAATAAAATAAACTTGCGCTGCGTAGGAAGCCCAAAAATATGTGTGGGAAATCTCAACCTTCTAGCTTTTTTAGTTTCCGATATCTCAGCGTTCATACGGACAGACAGACGGACAGACGTACACATGGTGGAACCAAAGAGAATATAAACACTCAGAGTGGACTCGAACCTCAATCGCATCATTCGCGGGCCACCAACTAACGCGATGCGCCACAGCCCTTTTTTAAATGTTGTGCGCAATGTGCCTTTTAGGACGATTCCTTTTCAAGAATCAACAAATGAGACAAAAATTGAATTTCGACTCTTCTGCAGCGCGGAGTTTTGAGAGCAAGAGAGCAAGTGAAAGAGAGAGAGAGAGAGAAGTCAAGAAACGGCATTCTAAAAATAGACTGAATACGTGTGAGTCGCATTTGACAAAAATGACGCTGCCTCCGTACATTTTCTTGCTCCTCGTTACACATCTTAGTGTTTATAATATCTTTGGTGGAACTATACAAGGTGGTCTCGTCAGCTCAGCTGAGGACGTTAAATATGTTTACCTCTCTGTCTCTCTTAGGCGATAGAATGAGATAGCTAGTTAGAGACTGACACAAATAACGTCCTCAAAAGAGGGCAGCTCTCGCGATGAGACCACCTGTATAGTTCCACCATGATGCCACCTAGGCGAAAAACAAAAATTTCCTTAATTTTTCATATGTTCGATTCAAACATGCATTTTGGGCCCATGGTGAGTTTTATGGGATTTTATATATCTGCACCGCTCTCACTCACTGTTTTGTTTTTGGATGTGTACTCTCACCACTATAGCTGTTGCTTCGCACATGTTGGATGCGGTGAGAAATCAATGTTTGCTTGGAACTTGGCCTTGAATTGGCTCTCAGCAGAGCTTGGGCAGAGGTTCGGGCAGAGCAGTTCCAGAAATCAGTTTTCACTCGTGAATCACCGGGTGAATCACTCGTGACAGGTCATTTGGCACTCGTGACGCACTCGTGATTTTCCATAGAGACTTTTGTTCGAGAGTTCCTACCCCGTACCATAGTGATAGCTTCAATGACATTCTTTCGAAGTCACTCGTGATATCACCAGTGCCTTATACGAATTGGTCATATGAGACGTCACCACCCTGTGACGTCACGAATGATTTCACGAGTGACTTTTTCCAAAATGTCATCAGCAATTTTATTACAAAAAAAAAAATACAAATTATTGTATTTTCTATTCATTGATTTAATTTTATTTATTTCATTGTATTCAGTTCATTTATCGGGTCTTCGGATTGGTGGGTCAACGCTCCTGAAAAAATTTAAAAAACAAGTATTACCATTTGTATTCAATATTCAAATAATTGCTTACTGACCGTTAAGCACCGCATATAGCCCTTTGCGTGCTTTTAAAGATTTTTTGCCGCTGCTTCCGTCCAGATTGTAGTCGATAACCAGACTATCTGAAATAATCAGCTTCAGGCATTTCGATAAATTATTATTTTGGTCACTTTCTGGATCTGTAAATATACATATATATATATTTATTTTTGTTTTGTTTCTAATTGTTACAAAGCATTTCAGCTTGCCACTTTCGGCTAATGCACACAAAACGTTCTAAGTTTTTTTTTGCAAAACACAAATCACTTTCAAAATTGGTGCAAGTTAAAGTTAAGTCTATCACAATATCTTACATTTAAGGTAGCACTTACCTGACTTTAATTTATGTATATATCACTTGCCACAAAATATTTTATTAAACACTCCTTCTCTCAGAAAACCTTGAAAATAATGCGATGCACCAAGTCTTCTTCTTACCCCTTTACCCGATTTCTTTTGTTTCATCTTCGCTGTTGGCGCGTGCCAATGCTCCTACACCCTTTCTTAAGCGGTATATGTATATCCGACTAAATAATTTGTATTTGTTTAGTAAAAACGCAATTTCTTAAAACTGTTAGTGTTATAATATTAAAATAAATATTAATGGACCATTTTTTTTTAACTAAAAAATGAACTTTTAACATCAAGTTAAATAAAAAATTGAATTAGGTAAATGTATTGTTTAAGTAAATTCAAATTTTATGAATAAACAATTTAAATTTATAACAGGAAATTAATTTGTTTGAGTCAAAATCTGCCACGTGGGCCACCCCTGTTCCGAAGGTCCGATTTTCATCGAACTTTTTTACTTTTCCGGTTCACAACGAAAATATAAGAACTTCATTTGAACGGTTTTGCGAAATTTTGCGTTTTACCGGAGTTATAGGGGTCAAAACATGGCATTTTTGACACTTTTTCGAAAAAGTTGCACTCAGTCATTAATTCATAACTTCGGAACGGTAAGAGATATCTTTATAATGTTTTCACTAATCGCTTAAGAATTATTATGGCTTTCCATAAAAAAATGTAAAAAAAACTTAAAATTTATTTTTCTTAAAAATAAATCAACATTTTTTTTTAGTTTTTATTTTTTTTAGTGTTCTTTACCAGCTATAGAGTTTAAAACCATTTGAAAATGAAGTTTGATTCATTACGAAAAAGATCCAAAAAAAAAAAGAGTGGCCCGGACAAAGGTTTTTCGCAATATCGATTTAAAGAAGGGCGCACAGCGGTTTTCCATACAAAACGACCAGAAGTGCCTCATTGACAGCTGTAGTCGGCTGACGCTACGCGCGCAACGGCATGTGTTGACCAGCCAATTTTCACGAGCAAGCAAATAAATATTTTGAAATATAATAATGCTCACAAAATGTAAGGACATACACATGTCGCTGCATCACGAAAATTATTCCAGCCAAATTTTGGTCGCGAGCTGAACATGACGGTAAAGCGCAAAAGAGAATGACGGACCGACCGAAATTGGCCGAGTGCAGGCAGATTATAAGACAGAAAAAGAGAGGGCAATATATGAATACACAGGTCGACAAAATCAAGACCTTTTCTTGGCCCAAGAATAAACGCTACAAAACCTGAAAGAATTTTAGCTGTAGATTACTACCTCATACTTGGAAACTTTCCATCACGTCGAAGTTTTTAGAAATCCGTGGTCAAAGATCCAAATTTTCGATTTTTCGGCACTTTTTACGGCTTAATAGTAAGAAAACCTTTCGTAGCCCAGAGCCACAATTTAGCGGAAGTGGTACCTTGAACCTTTAACTTCAAGAGTGTCCAATCACAAAGCTGGGCGACCTCTATATCTTTAGCTACAATGGATTTTACAGAAGTACTTTTTGTCACTTTTTTTCATCTATAGTAGCCTGATATTTTCCTTGTTGAACTGAGACCCGTACACATACAATACATTAAAACAAGAAAGGAAGCTACCTTCGGCCAGCCGAAGCTTATATACCCTTGCAGATAAAGTAATGCTCACTCGGTGCAGTTCCAGGGATTCCAGATTCAGCGTTTCTATTTAAATTTTTTTTTTAAGTAGTCAAGAATCCAAAACGCCTACTTCCTACAAAGTTACAATGAATTTTCTAATATTTGTTTGAATATTCCTATGGAAGCCTTAAGAAATAGTGGTCCGATCCGGCTCGCTCCGACATATGTACTACCTGCAATAGAAAGAAGACTTTCGGGAAAGTTTCATCGCGATAGCTTTAAAACTGAGAGACTAGTTCGCATAGAAACGGACAGACGGACAGACGGACAGACGGACGGACAGACAGACGGACAGACGGACATGGCTAGATAGACTCGGCTATTGGTGCTGATCAAGAATATATATACTTTATGTGGTCGGAAACGACTCCTTCACTGCGTTGCAAACATCTGACTGAAATTATAATACCCTCTACAAGGGTATAAATATCAGGCTACTATAGATGAAAAAAAGTGACAAAAAGTACTTCAGTAAAATCCATTGTAGCTACAAAAGTAGAGGTCGCCCAACTGTGTGATTGGACAATCTTGAAGTTAAAGGTTCAAAGTACCTTTTCCGCTAAATTTTGGCTCTGGGCTACGAAGGGTTTTCTTACTATTAAGTAGCAAAAAGTGCCTAAAAATCGAAAATTTGGAACTTTGACCACGGATTTCTCAAAACTTCGACGTGATGGAAAGTTTCCAAGTATGAGGTAGTAATCTACAGCTAAAATCCTTTCAGGTTTGGTAGCTTTTATTCTTGGGCTTTTTTTTTGTCGACCAGTGATATCGGCTTCCCTTTCTTGCACGATAGATTTCGTCCGCAGTCTTCTACGCTGCGCCGACTTCTCTGCTGACGTCGGCAGCGGCCGTTCGTTTGGCCTAATGAATTTGTCATGTGTCACCACTCCAGAACTGAAGTTTGTGTTGAGCCTATTTAAGAAAGTTAAAGTGAGATCCTCAAAAATGCAATTTATAGGTAAGCAATTGAAATAATTTGAAATATAAATTTGGTAAGGGTGTGAAAATGTATGGTAAGCAAAGGGCATACTATTTTAATAGATTTAGCTATGAATAATATTGCAGGCCGCAAATACCAGCCTTCTCTAATATTCATTTTTATTTTCGATTGCAGAAATAATTTCAATTTCAGGTATTGTTGATAATTTTGCAGTAAGTAAGTACATTTTAATAATAATATATTAAATACTTAATATAAATATTAATAATTTTATTTTTATCTTTTTTGTTTAGGTAATATTTATAATGTTATTTTATTTTTATTTCTTTTCTTTGTTTAAAAAATATTTATAATGTTAATTTTGTACCCTTGCAGAGGGTATTATAATTTCAGTCAGATGTTTGCAACGCAGTGAAGGAGACATTTCCAACCACATAAAGTATATATACTTTATGTATACTTTATGTATACTTTATAGATATATGATATAGATCAGCATCAATAGCCGAGACCATCTAGCCATGTCCGTCTGTCCGTCTGTCCGTTTCTATGCGAACTAGTCCCTCAGTTTTAAATCTATCGCGATGAAAATTTCCCAAAAGTCTTTTTTCTATTGCAGTACATATGTCGGAACGAGCCGGATCGGACCACTATATCTTATGGCTCCCATAGGAATAATCAAAAAAATAATAGAAAAACTATTGTAACTTTGTAGAAAGTAGGCGTTTTGATTTTTGACAATGTAAAAACAACATTTTTCTCTTTTTTGTTTAGGAAATATAAATAATTTTCTTTTCATCTTTTTTAATTTATTTTCTCTTTCTTTTTAGAAAATAAAATAATAAAATAAATGTGTATGCATTTTATTTAAATAAAGAACATTTTCTGAAAACAAAAAAAGTATTTTCTTATTTTAAGAAAAAAATTCTATGCTCAAGAAAAGTACTCAATTTCTCAATTTGATGGCAATTTTTCTTGATTCTTAAAATTTTTTCTGCTTTTTAGAAATTGTTTTCTAAATTTAAGAAAATTCCTTTCTTATTTACGGTAAATAACCATCGACTGAAATTCATGGCGAATTTCTTGATTTAATGCTGACATCGGCCTGTTAATACCCTTGCTGAGGGTATTATACATAATATATATATGTAAGAATATATATATATTCTTGATCAGCATCACTAGACGAGTCGATCTAGCCATGTCCGTCTGTCTGTCCGTTTCTACGCAAACTAGTCTCTCAGTTTTGAAGCTATCGGCTTAAAACTTTCCCAAAAGTCTTCTTTCTATTGCAGGTAGTATATAAGTCGGAACCGGCCGGATCGGACAACTATATTTTATAGCTCCCAAAAGAAAGATCGGAAAAAAAAACTTTTAAAAATTCTAGCTTTGATGTTTTTTTGAAATATTAACTTTTACTCTTGGAAATGTTATTTTTTAAATATTTATGAATTTCGAATAAAATTTAGAAAAAATCGGGACACTATATCATATATCTGCCATAAATAAGAAATAAGAAAAAAAATATTGCTTCGTTGGTTTATATTGTATTCTCTTCTACTCTAGGATATGACTCTTTTTAAATATTTCCGAATTTCGGTCTTAGTTTTATCAAAATTGAACTACTATATCATATAGCTGCCATAGGAACGATCGGAAAATTAATGAGAAATAATAGAAAATTGAACATTTTGGCGATTTGTTAATTAATAGGAAAGCTAGCTTCCTTTCTTGTTTTTTATACCCTTGCAGAGGGTATTATGATTTCAGTCAGAAGTTTGCAACGCAGTGAAGGAGACGTTTCCGACCCCATAAAGTATATATATTCTTGATCAGCATCACAAGACGAGTCGATCTAGCCATGTCCGTCTGTCCGTCTGTCCGTCTGTCCGCCTGTCCGTCCGTCTGTCCGTCTGTCTGTTTCTACGCAAACTAGTCTCTCAGTTTTTGAGCTATCGGGATGAAACTTTCCCAAAAGTCTTCTTTCTATTGCAGGTAGTATATATGTCGGAACCGACCGGATCGGACAACTATATCTTATAGCTCCCATAGTAAGGATCGGAAAAAAAAAAACTTAAAAAAATTCTAGCTTCGGTGTTTTTTGAAATATTACCTTCTACTTTTGGGGATGTTGTTTTTTAAATATTTCTGAATTTCGAATTAATTATTTAAAAAATCGGACTACTATATCATATAGCTGCCATAGGAACGATCGGAAAATTAATGGAAAAGTAATAGGAAATAAATTCTAGCTTCTTTGGTTTTTATTGTATTATCTTCTACTCTAGGATATGACTCTTTTTAAATATTTCCGAATTTCAATTTTAATTTAATCAAAATCGGACGACTATATCATATAGCTGCCATAGGAACGATCGGAAAATTAATGAGAAATATTAGAAAATTGAACATTTTTGCGATTTGTTAATTAATAGGAAT